TATAACTCGCACTTTGCGGCTCTACTCGTTCGAAGGCGAAATTTCAATTCAACCGGAAATTAACTGAATAATTAACGCGCCGCCCGTATCTCTCTTATTCTCTGTGTTTATGTGCTTGCGCTCGCATGCGTATTTCTACCGTGTAAGCTTGTAAGAGTGGATGCGAATCACGTCCAACGTCCTCGAAACCGACGCACCACTAAAAGGACCAATCGAATTACCCTCGTTACCTTAATTATTCCCCGCTCATTTATTAAAAATCCGATCGTTAGTGTAATAGGATGGAAAGGGTGAAATCGTATGCTCATATCTTTCTTTTTGAAAAAGCGTCGCATTATGACTATTCGATCGGTGTGATTGCAATTTTTCAAAGGCCCGACGCCTGCTCGTACAAAGACAGCTCCAAAGCGAGTCGGTTACGTAATATGAAGTATAAATTCTTGGGCGCGCTTACGGATAAAGCTTTATACCGATCGCGTCATCAAACGCGTTTCCGGTCTAGGGGCTGCGACGAATTCGACAATGGCGCGATCCACGTGCGAGGCTCTGCCACTGACATATTGCTCTCTGATACGCTGCCTCGTCTGCATTCAAATTCAAATGAGATTTCGCCTCGCACGCATACACGCGTAGGCACAGAAAGTGTGTCTGCGATTTCTCATCTGCTTGTCGCGCACATTTTCTCCATGCGCGCGTGTGTGCCGAGAAATATCGCGACAGTATGTGCGGGCTTTCGGTGCCGCGCGATGCCTCCTTTCAGCTTGGCCGTGCGCGCGTGTGTGTGTGTGTGCAGGAGCCAACAGCAACGAGTTTGATTTTCCGACTCGAGGACTGGATGATCGGAGTAAATTGTTTCTTTTCTTCCGAGGGATATCGGGAAATTTCAGACACCGACGGGGGATCGAATGCGTATACACCATAAACATTCGACTCAGTGTAGTGTTAGTGATTTTCTTTTTTCAAACCTTTGACGTCTCGCATTGACTCGAAGCAATATATACTTTCGGCGAAATTATTAGATAGCAACGGGGTTTAAATATTCTTATCTACACTCCGAGCTCGAGCGAGGGTTCGGCCGAGTCTGAAATCTGCATCACTTTTGCTCATAAACGTTCTCGGCCTTACTCAAAGTAAACGAAGTTTCGGCTAAATGTTTCATCGTAAATCCCTTTGAATTGGAGTGCTTCATTTTTTCCACGTCAAAAAGCGGACAGTAGATTTATATAATATGGAAAGAGAGAGAGACGAGGAAAAAGCGCCGAAGAAAAGTAGTCAAGAAGCAAAAATCTTTTATAGTAATAATAAAGAAACGCGGCATCATCTTTCTGCTATTTTTCCACGCTTGTGTTCAACAAGATAAAACAAAATACTGCTATTGGACAAAAAGCTCCGTAGGCGAGGGCATATAATATACGAAGCATATAAAAGTGAAAGATCTTGGAGAATGAGAAGAAAAAAAACTTGCCACACGACCCCCTTTTTCGGTCAGAAGCGCATCACGAGCGACGTGTAGCCCTCCCACGCGTTTCGGAGCTATAGATATACGCATGCAAGAGCTTTTCAGTCATTTTATTGTCCGCCGCCGTCGACGAGTTTATATTAACTCAGACCTGGTTAGATCTACTCTCGCTCGTTCTCCTCTCTCTCTCTCTTTTTCTTTGCCTTCACCTCGAGGCTACAAGTCGCTTAAATCTCGCCTATACCATCGGGCGATCTCACCCTGAATTTCTTGCCAAAACATATTATGTCGCGTGACCTCTCGAGACAGTATATGCACAGCAGGTGTATGTACGTAAAGTATCGAGCGGAAAGAGACTTTAGTCACTTTGAGGACGAGGAATGTCACAGGACTTTTTTTCGTCACTCTCGTAGAAAGAGTCTCGTAGAGCTCGTCTTTGAGAATTGAATTGCGCGCGGCGCACGGGCAGCCAGGTGCACGAGTCGGGTTGTTAAAACAGCGAGGCACGAGTTCGGACGACGCTTGATTAGATTAACCAAGACCTCTGGCCTCCCATCTTCTCCCTCTCCAGCTCGTTCTCTCTCATTGTTTTCTACGACGTTCGCTTGGCGCTTCTCGCCGTGCGCCTCGAAAATACTGTCACTCGATCCTCGTTGTTTCGTTTTCGACTTTTTGCGCTTAATACAAGTTTAATTCAATTTGAGGTCTCGACTGGCGGATAATAAAACGAAAGAAACGTATTTTCGGTATTATTTCTCAGGGAAAAAGAAGAATTTTCATATTTCTTGTTCGTCAAATTCACGTGCACACTAATAGAAACTGCCGGCGAAGAATTAACGTATGAAAGCATGATTTTAAAAATCATGACAAACGATAGGTTAATTCGCTGGTGCTGCTGGTATACGAAAGGAACGAAGGATGAAAAGAGCAATGAACGCGAGTATGCAGAGCATCAAACATGCGCGTAATTAAATTTTTTGTTCGCGGCATCCTGGTGCTTTCGTAGCGCGCACATAATTTCTTTCTTTTCGTACATGGTGCGGCACACACACAACGCGCACGTGACTCGCTCCTAGCTTGATTCGTTTGATTGTACACTTTGAGCCCATACGTTTACCATATAAAAGTGCGCCACCGAAATAACTCTCCTTGTCTTTCTCTCTCTCACTAAGCAAAGAAAGGAAAAAAAAGGAGAAATGAAAAACAAAGCCAGAAATGTTGGTACAGGAGCGATGTTGAACAACTGCATTATACACACGGTGGAGCTTCACTTGAGCGAAGGCGTACGTATAGCATACGGATAATGCATTGTAGCTAATAGCATACAGAGGGCAGAGATGCTGGAGAGATCATCCATTAGCATCTCTTTCTCTCTGTTTAATCGGAACTCGAGAGCTCGGCAGCTCGGCAGAGCAGCTCGAGCTCGCCTCTACAGTCGTTTCTCATTATAAAGATAGCGTGTAATTGGCTCCGTTGATATTCCTATGTATTTACAAGGCGCTCTTGCGAGCAAAAAAAAACACGCGCACGCACACCCACGCGTACACAGAGCCGCATGCAGATCAAGCGAGGTCTGCTGACTATAAGTTTGTATAAAGGGATGCTCTAAGAGAGATCGCGGGGCGCTCGAGCCGAGACTCGACTAGAGACGCGTAGGAGGAAAAAAGTTGTCGCATCGCGAAAAGAATGCGTGTAGGTACACGGTCGGAGCGAGAGAGAGAGAGAGCGCGTGGCGCGCAGGCCTCAAGGGGTTGCTAGACTGCCAAGAGTCGGGGGTGTGCTCGGTCCAGGCCTTCGGTGTCAGCAGCAGCGAGCGGCCACGGCCATTAATTAGAAGCGGACGAGAGCGAGAGCTGCTGCTTGAGTTTTCGACACCACTTCAGCATCCGGCCCGCCCACACACACAACGACCTACCTACACTAAGGGAGCATGTGTGTAATGGAGCTCTTGCCTCTGCATTCTTAATTTGCTGCGGATTTCTTTTGTTTCGACTCTCTCGGCCGCAGCTCTGTGTGAATCTGTTTTCTGCTCTTTTCAGACGATTCTTTCGCCTAGCGCGGCCTTCGTTCGCACGCTCTTGCGCAATTTACTCGGCGAATTTCCTGCTTCTGTCGCAGGTGTTGATGCTCGCGCAAAGTGTTAACGAACTCGTTTAGAATTATTCAAAAGTTAATTCGCGCTGCTCACTATTGGTCGCGCGTATCGAAATTCGTGCATAATGCCGCTCGGCGCAACGAGTCAACCGACTTCGGATTGATAGCTATCGCGTACAGGAATTACGTATTACATGGAATTCACGCAACAACAGGAGCACGATATAGACGATATAGACGATATAGCTCGGCTAGCGTGATAAATGCAAAGCGAGCTGCAGTGTCTCGAGCTCGGCTCATCCGCGAGGGCACGAGGAGCAGCGTTGCACAACCTGTTTACCTTCTGTGTATGCGCGCCCGAGCCTGCCTATGCGTCTCTACGCGTATTATGTACATCTAAGATTAATGAAGGGACATTTACTGGGCAATTTAACGCCGTTAATCATACAGCCGAGCGGCTATTACTGCAGGCGCTTCTTGCGTCTTTGCTTCCGCTTTTCCGCTCGTCCACCGAGCGTCACCCGTCACTCATCCTTTGCTACCTACGAACACTCGTCGCTACGAGGGCTTGTAAGCGGCGAATCTTCGCCCGAACGATTGTTCACGGGCTTTTTTACCACCACATAAATTTCAAAACTGTTACCTCGTACGTCAAAAGCGAAGCCGATATTTTTTGATGCATTCAACGTTGCGTGAAACAATACCTATGTACATAGGTGCATTGCATTATTTTCAAATACTCGTGCACACGTACACTCGAAAACGTCGCACTCTGTCTTGTTTTTCTTGCATAGGTCGGCACGACTTTTATTTCCGTCGAGCCATTCAATCGAGTCGTGGGACTTGCAAAGTCAATAAGTCCTTGGCCGAGCGACGTATCGCGAATTAATGCGCACACATCGCGGCTCCATTACCATTCGGTACATTCTATACCCGTGGCCGGATAATAATCACGTCATTAGTGCCGGGTGACGAGTGCCCTCGATGTAACTCGTATATATACAGGCACGCGACTGTCGCGCGATTTTCATCTCGAGACCATATGGCCCCCGGCGAAACGTCATCTATGTATATGCTACGCGGACTTTGTCATCGAAACTGACAGCACTTGAAAAAATCCGCTCGAAAAACCTCCTTACAATGTCATTGGCGTGCAAGCACGCACTCGTTGCTACCTATACTATAGTATACACACGAAATGTCGCACGATAATGAAAATGATTGCGACGAGAACTTGGCATTTCCAAGTGTTACACTCCTACACGCGCCTACTTCCTACTTGTCGACCTCCAAAGCCTCTAATGTCTTGCTGAATTATTTTTCTATAGTGAATTTAATCGTCGTCGTACGTGCACGTGTGCATAATTGGAAAATAATGCCTTGTTAGAAAATTTATGCAACATCTCGCCCGCAATTCACCTTTCGACTCCCATGAGAAATTTCGGACTTTGTCAATTAATTTTTATTGGTTCCAACAGTGCTCGTAAAAAAGTTCTGTAATCTATTAAGTATGAGTAAATCATAAATACAAGACTAGCCAGTAGGTGTGAATCAGATTGACAGTTAATTATGATTTTGAACTTGAATCCAAAAATAGTTTTTCGATGTTCGGCATTGTTTTCATTTCTAAAGTTTCATCCAAAGCCATATAATCTAAATTGCTAGCATCGCTCACAGGTTTCCATTCAACGGGTAATAAATCAGATGTAGAGGGTGTAGGGTTTCTGTAATTTTTTTCAATGACATTAGCGACACTTCAATGATGAGAAAAACTCATTTTTTGATATTTTTTCGTTTACCCTGTAACAGCAAAGTTGACCCACATATTAACCATTTGCTCCATCAGCTTCCAAGATGGGGTATCTTGTTTTAAAAATTTATGAAGCAGCTTTTCTACGATTACTATTCTAAACTCTGAAGTTAATTCATCTCCGTGAGCAGCTCCTACGAAATTATAAGATTTTAATTAGATAAATGAAACATTTCTGTAATTGTTCAAATACTTCAATGCAGTACCCTGTAAATGACTGCCAGTGAAGAATTTCACTGGAGAAAAGCCTTTGTCGAATGAGTATTGGTAAAAGTATGTTGGTTTGCTACTTTTCTGCGTTTGCAATTTTATTATTTTATGGACACCATCAATTATATAAAGATCACTAAAAAGATCAATCAGTTGACCGTGATTATCACGACTTATCTCATCGTCTCCATAATACATTTTCTTCAAGTCATTAGCAGTTAGACCATATTTTTGTATCGCACGTACTGTTTCGGGGTGCAAGAATTTGCTAAAGTCGTCGTCATTGAACTTATCAAACTTGTGACCCATACCTGAAAGTTTATATAAAGTTAATTGTATTTTATTTTAAAAAATCGGAAAATATCAGAATGAAGTACATACGAGCCAAAAGTATTATGGCTTCACGATTATTATGTCCAATTATCATTGGTAAATCAATACCCTGTTCAGCATCTACTAATGGCTCATCAGGCATAAACGGATTTTTAGCTTCAGAATCACTAGTTGGACCAAAAGGTAGAATACCTCGAGCAACGATCTAAAAATTTAAATTTACAAATTTTATAATGAACAACAAAGTGACGTCGGAAACGGAAGTTATGTCGGACTTAGCTTACTTCTACCGGATAGAGTGCATCTTGAGTTTCGATCAAAGTATGGATTTCCTGGGACATGAGAAATTCTAAAACTTCTTGAGAATTTGATACCGATTTCCCCAATTTTTCGCAAAATTTATAAGCAACTTGCTTAGGTTGTTCGGCAATCAAAGCCCAGGGATTAAAAATGGAGCCACTTTGAAGAATGATTTTATTAAAAAGTCCTGAAATGTTATGTTCATTAGTGAAAGGAAGTCTTATTATTCATGAATAAGTTCATTGAAAAGAACCTTTAGTCATTGGAGAAAATGCCATGAGATGTGCTGAAACAGCTCCAACATTTTGACCAAAGAGTGTGATTTGGTCTGGGTCCCCTCCAAAACTGGCAATATTTTCGCGTACCCATTTCAATGCGAGCACTTGATCTTTTAAACCCATATTACCAGGAGTTTCCTCATCCTCTAAATCCAAAAATCCTGTGAAAATTAAACAATTTTAATAAATTTAACAAACTTTTATAGTTTTACAATAAAAACTTACCTAAAATGCCTAATCTGTAGTTGAATGTTACGAACATGATATCTTCACGCATCATGAAAAAATCAGGACCGAAAAATTGCTCATCTCCGGCGCCGTAAATGAAAAATCCCGGATGTATGAAAAATATAACCGGGAGTTTCAAATTGGGATCGACCCTTCGAGAATATACATTCAAATACAAACAGTCTTCTTTTCCATCGACAACTTTGACAATTAAATTTAGTTGAGGGCAGTGTTGAGCTTTCTCTTTGGCTTCAAAAACGCCATCCCAAGGTTCAATGGGTACAGAGTCCTGAAATGCACTTGAAAATATTGAAACAGTCTCGAAATCATCAAGAGTAACTCACTTTGAATCTGAGCGCACCAACAGGGGGTTTAGCATATGGAATTCCTTTAAAGGCACAGAATGTATCCCCTGACGGATTCGTTTGCGTAACACCAGAAATTTTACCAGAATTAGTCTCTACGACAATGTTGTCACAAGCAAACACCACACAGTACGGCCAAATCAGAAAGACAATATAAAAAAGAGCGTATCGTGACATTTTGTTTGATGAAAGCGCACTTGTGAACCAACTGTTAGCGTAATATCGATTCACTGCATCGCTTTGACTAGAGAAAAATTGGCACCCAGAGTCGACGTAATTGCTAGATTATAGTTTCCTCGAATTAACGCGTTTTGACTCGCGTTTCGATGATTTTGAGAAACAGCAATTTCAGTAAATGTTTGTCATGCTCAACGTGTGGGATACAATACGACAGAGTGATTATTTCACGAAAAGTTTGAATGAACGAATCAACGGAATGAATGAAAAGTGAGTATGCAAAATTTTTAAATACTTTGTTAGTGCGTTTCAATTTTTCTTTTTATACAGCTTATAAATTTTTCGTATATGAATAACGGATAGAAAGAAAAACACTTGGGCGAGTAAAATGAATATAATAAGATTTAGCAGTAGGCCGATAAGACGAGGAAAAAAAGGCATCGATGCGTGTATCGGTCTTTGTAGGCGACACAGTCCATCAGTCGAGGTAAATACATCTGCCGACGTGGTGAGCTTCGAGGGTGGAGGTCGTCGATAAACGCGTAAGCGCTCAGAAATCGAGCCCCGCTACATGTATCATCCACACTTGCACACATGCGTATGTGCGTGTAAATGTACACGTGTGCACTTGTTTCTGTCCGGTCGAGGGATAAGGTAGCGTCAAGAGAGAGAGAGAGAGAGAGAGAGAGAGAGACAAAGAGGGAGAGGACAAGCGCCGGGCACGTATAAACCGAGCAAGGCTGTAAATCAGTTCGACGCATCGGAGGTATTTCGGTTAAATGACACATGTGCCTATAGCCCTGCGTCCCCGAGTATATCTCGACTGTGGCTGCCACATAACCAGACTGAAATTCTATCTTTCTTTCGTCCAGCATATATCGCTGCTACGTGCAGAAGAGCTGACGGTTGCCTGTGTGTGTGCTCATCGTTCGATCCACCTATCCTACGAATACAAAGCAAAGTAAATGTAACCGGCCTTAGCATCTACTAAAACTCCTATGCGTTCACTATATAAGTGCGATATCTGTCCGTGTACATAAATATATATTTTCACGTGCAGCGAATTTATATTGTTCGAGAGGATCTCGATGGGAATAAAGAGAAAAATTATACCAGTACGACTAGTTGTTTCTTTTTCTTCGCTCACCGCGTATAAATATTACATAAGTTGATAAATCAATTTTCAAGAATGAAATAGTGGTAGCTTAAAATCTTAATAATACATGAGGTAGTGTAGCTCAAGTTTTTTTTTGGTCAAGATAATCCTTTTTTGTTATAAATTAGTGTACTTAAAAACCAATTTTTAATGAAGAATTAAAAATATATTTGATATCAATCAACAATTATCTTAAATTACCATCGAGGATGATTTATTGTCTTGCTTTGATCGCATAAACCATAACACAAACTATAACAACTGATTTTCCTTTTATACACTCATAGATGTCGGATCATCGAGTTGTGATGCAGTGCGTGACGCCCCAATCCCCAATACAATAACGCATATATATAGGCGAAATTTTTCTTACAATATATGTCCATGCTACACTAGACGCGTACGTGTTATATGAAATCGGATAAATATGTACAAAAGTAAAAATGACGCAGTAGGAGGAAAAAAGCACATTTACGTATACGAGAGAAAGAGACTCTATTATTCGCGTCTCCTTTTGCCATTCGTGCGATGGGAGTCGCAGAGCGAGCAGCGATCCCCTGTGAATTTCGCGCGAAGCATTTGGATACATCATTTGCTGCATATCGTCACGCGCGTCGCTCCCAGAGATTTATCGGAAATTCATATATATTCGCAGTCGCGCGCGGAAAAAGTGGTCGTCTTGAATTTTATTTTAGCTTCCTATAGCCTTGGCGTTGATGAATAATTTAATACTCTATGGCGAATGGAAAATAAGAAAAGAAACGAGTTAACGGCGCATCAGCCGAGACAAACAGCCGAGCGAGGAAAATATAGTCGTATTCTATACGGCCACCCATCTTCCATATGATTATCCATATTCATTACTGTTGATGTGCTTTTTTCATATCGAGATACGTCGAGTCGCGAACAAAAAAAATGCGGAAAAAAGCTAAGAACGCGATTTTTGCGCGCATCACCGATACTCGCTTTCTCTCTCTCTCTCTCGCTTTAGTAATATTGCTTTTCTTTTCGAATGTTTAGCGCGTACAATAGACTACAGCCGAGACTACAAGCTCGTAAGTCCCGCGAGGGTAGCGGCAAAAAGAGGGTCGTATATATGTATTCGCATCGAGAGGAAATGCGCCTATATACGTCGGATAGAGTAATGAGTCTCGGGATCGCGACTCACGACGATTTGCTTCGAGGGTCACTCTAGCTCTCCAGCAACTCTACGCGCAAAGGCTATCCTCCGTACGCAAGTGTCCTTTTTTATTATTATTTTCGCTTCATCCTTTTCCGTTTTCAGCTGTACGATGGTCTTTTTTTTTTATCAACGAAGCTATGTCAGCGTCATAATTTTTCGTCGAAAAAGTCAACATAGTGGAATACTCGGAATCGTGTGATTGAGTGAATCATGGAATTCATTGATGCTAAATCCAAAAAAAATTTCACCGAAATGGAAATTCTGCTCTTGGAATTTCGGCGTCAACTCCCAAAGCGGAGGCCGATCGAGCGCGCGCACGGCAAACGATCGCGATAAATTTTCACGTTTATTGCTTTTGGATGAGCCGATCGCGCCGAATAAGCTTAATAGCAAGTGCAGAATGGAAAAAAGATAGCGATCGGAAGCCAAGTGCGAGAAGAAATTGACTCGCGCAGCAGCTCGCGTCGTTAAGATCGAGCTAAACGTCGCGCGCTCGTTTATAGATAAATTCACGCGTGTCGTTAAAGATAGCAGCAGTTTCTCGAGCGAACGAGAACGAGAGAAATAATTCGCCGGAGCTTATATGTATACGCGCGGAGCTTTATTTGTTTGCTCGCGACCGAAACGTCGTTGCTTTGCACGTATACAGACGCAAAGAGGCAAGAAAGCATCCGACAGATTATGTCGCTATGTGCCAAGGCTTATGAGCATGTGGAGCCGGCTACGACGGCAGCAAAATTGAAATTAAGAAGATACGATGTGTAAGCCATTGTGTAGCTCGCACAGGCATCGTCCTATAACTCAGCGATATTTATTAGGGTGCTTATTCAAATTTTTCCCAATTACACGTGGCAAGATGCGCAAGAGGAGAGCCAAGTACGTTTTGGGCTGTGATATAACGACGTGCCTCGCGCTTATCTTAAGTAGCTTCCAATTTCCCTTATTTATGCCCTTACTGCTGCTCTTGTAGCTCTATGCGAAATAATTGATCGGCTTCGTAGGAAATATCTTTGCGATTCGCGTATTTACTCATAATTCCCTCGCGTGCGTGTATATCACGCAATTTCACATAGTCTTTACACTCGACGTGTCTCGGAGCATCGGCCCTATCGAAATGCTCCGTCGGTCTTTGGCAAGTCCGCACGTAGGCACGCATACCGGGTGACGATTGCGCAGGCGTTTGCTGACGTTGCAACACATGAAATGTTTAATTGATATAATTGCGTCGAGTATATTGCGCTGCACATCCGCTCGTACTGCACGGCTCCAACTTCTGGATAGTTTTGAAATAAATATTTCCATAAATGTGTGTATATATAAGCACGCGTACGTAGAGTAATAGCGAGTTGCAACGGTGTTTAATGATACGTCTTGTGCATACACCGTACACACAAAATTGAACTTTACAATCGGTCATTACAGCACATTCGAATGCATTACTTATGCTCTCTCTGTCTATAATCGCACTGCAGATGTAAATCGTAGAAATTATTGATTAGGATGAATTTCAAGACGAACAATAGAAAATATAAAACATTGATTATCGTCGAGACCATTATTTGACCAGGAAGTCGGAGGTAAAAAAAATCAAGTAGCGAGGGACCTTTTTTTCCTTTTTTTACAGAAATAAAAAGAATTACGAGCGATTAAGCAGCAGCTCGTGTCTGTCGCGAGGGTTTCGCACTTGACACGGAAGAACGAGCACACGATCGGCGGTGCCGGGCTAAAGATTTAAAGCAGCCAAGCGAACTCGATATGCCGAGAGGAAAGTATATTATAGCCGGCGCAGAGGTCCATCGTCGTCCGCGTGGTATAGTATGTACGTCCCTGTACATAAAATGAGTGAAACGCAGCATCGAGTGGACTTGTGCCATTGTACTCGTGTGCCAATTAAACGGTGCTACGATGCGTGCCGCTGAGCCGCTGCCTACCTACATATATACCTAGCGTACACATACATATAAATACACGCGATAGAGCGTCATCGCAGTGTCCTCGTCGAGTCGCTTCAACAATGATCGTCTAGCACGATCTTAGCTCGAGTCCGCGCACGCACGCACTTACACATGTAATGCTCGGGGGCCACCCTACTGTACGGCCTACATACACGTACGGCTGCGCCGCGCGCGTTATACATATCCATCTAATAGTCTACACCCACGCACACGTACGTAGGCTTGCCCGGCTGCGGCTATACGTGTATCGAGCTACGGGGTAGCTAAGCGTGCACATTTGGATAACCACTGATTGGGGAGCATCTGCGACTAGGAAGTCCTGACAATTATCCCAGGCCTGCTTATTATCTATATAGCGCAGAAACGACTGGACGCTATATCTATATGTTCAATGTATCGAGACGTATGTATATAATATTATGATCCTCTCTGTCCAGGATATTACGTCGACGTCTTTGGCTGGCCTAGGGGAATGGTCATTGTAGCTTGCTGTACGCCGACATGCTCCGATATAAATAATTCCAATTTGTCCCTACCATCTCGAAAATGGTTAAAAATGCTCGAAGCGCGCTACTCTCTGGCATAAACAAATACGGCTGCGCAGGTTCACGGCTGATTCTATTATTCAATGGAGCCGAAACGCGAGTACAGAACGCATCGAACGTCGCAGCGAGGAGCTGCAACGACAGCATCCCCGAGCCTATGCGAGCGTACGACCACAATTAGAGTCAGTCAAACGATCGGTCAGCTGAACGCGCATTGGTTATTCAAGTATATATGCCGTTGTCGGGGCGAGTGCATACACAGAGAATATACATATTCGAGTGTTGAGCAGCTTCAGAGGGTAGGATAAGGCGGCGGCCGCACAAACACACGTGCGCCTCTGCGTGCCTGCCTGGCTGCATTATAATCGTCGGCGGATTAGCGCTGCGCCGACGAGCCACCGGCCGACGGAGAAATCGATATATAAATCGCTTGATTGCTTTCTGCCACTTGATCCATTCTCTCGGGCTCGCCGTGCAAAGCTCGCCGCAAGAAGCTGGCGTCGACTGGTCGCCCACCTACGCACTCCGCATGCATATTCTATATGTAAACTCGACTCGTAAGGTTGAGTCCTGCCTAATCCCCAATTTCTCTGGCGCACACACGCACCTGCACACGATTGCCTCCCACTGATCGTCCGTGATTGACCTCTAGCCCAATCTCTCCAGCTAGGATAAATAATTCATTCGCTCATCTGGTATTAATCGTCTTTACTTGTGTGCTTGCGAAGCACCGACTAAACTCTTCATTTTACAAACAACATTTATATGCACAACTACATTCAAGCGAATACTTATATTACGTATCACAAAAGACCGATACACCAATCGTCATCATTGTATAAAACATCGATTCTTTTGGATTTTATATAAAATTATCAAAGTCAGTCATACATTTTTTTCAAGTCACCATTTTACAATCTTTTCTTCATATTCATCCATGTGAATACCAAAAATCAATTTCGTTCAGCTACCAAGAGCCAATGCCTCACTGATTGTGCAATAATTAACATAAATATTAAAATAAGTAGGGTTATGAATAAGTAAAAGCATACATAAAACACTTTTGAGACATTCGACATCGCTTCCATCCACTTAGGGACTTTGTAGCTGCAAGTGAACGAAATTTTTTCAGAAATAATAACATAGTGTAGCAATAATATAGAATAAAAAATAATAATTACGATTCGCTGCTGTAGTGCACTTCGTATAAATCCCAATTATAATTCCAACCGCACAGTAGTCTAGGAAAAAACTCTTTTACAAACTTTCGTTTACTAGTTTTTGTCAAATACTCTGTCAACAATGGATCGTTTTCCTGAAAATGGGATAGAACGTTATTTATAAATATTTTTTAGTGCGATACAAAATTGGATTCTTCGATTAATACTCACTTGCTTTTTTCGTTCTCGATTGGTTCTCTTGATTGTTGGCTCTTCCACTTTATGTTCGTACTCAATATGTTTATCAACCGATTGAGGTGGATCAACGTTCGGTGCAGCTTTTGACTTTGACCATTTGGATTGTAAACGATGAGGCGATGATACATGGTTTTTGCTCGCAACACAAGTTTTTTCATTTTGCTTCGTAGACAAATTTTCTTCTTTAATTTGATTTGATCGAACAGGTAGTTTTAATTCTGGTGAATTACACGTTCGGTGAACTTCAACCTGTACTGTTACTTGTTTTGGCATTTCAAGTTCTACCGAATCAATGGAACTGTCGCTATACCTGCGCATAGCAAACGGTTTCTGACTACACTTATACTGACTATTTACATGGCTTCGCTCACTATGTCTTCGCACCCTTTGCAATTCTATTATGTTTATTAAAACCTCTGATCTGTCACTGGATCCTTTGGTATCGATATGATCATATTTAACACTATGATGTTTTATAAAATTACTTCTTTGGTTATCGATAAATTTACTCGTTATAGATTCAGTTTCCATTGATGTATTATAGCTTTCGTTTGACCATACTGAATGATGACTTGCAGCAGTTATGAACGATTCTTGATCTTGGAATAAAGAATCTGATTCAGAAATTTGGCTGAATAATTCACTATTATTCATATCTATTCCTGGTGACAAGGATCCAGATTCAGACAACCGATAATACGGGTATTCATTTTCTATAGTTACATTTATAGAGTCGTACATTTTTGCTAGTTATCGTATATGAAATTTAATTTAATCAAATTAAATGGTCTATGACTCGTGCGCTTTGCATAAACTTTATTAGTTAAATTACAATTTAATTTCAATTTCTACGTGTTGTGTAAGTCTAATATTTGTTGTTCTCCAAAGTAGTTAATCTGAAACACTGATCAGGTAAACAAATATTTGGCCGATGAAATTAGAATAAGATGTACTCGGTTATTGGGAAGGAGAAATTTAGCGTAAGTATAGTAGGAATTGTCAAATTTATTTCCAATTTCATTAACTTTAAATAATTGGGATTAAATTGGAATCACACTCCAGATTAAAAAAATTCGGGTATCAAACTTTTGTCAAAAATTACTAGAACGGGAATCGCAAATATTTAGCGTGCATCAAAAGTTCACACCGCGAATAAACAAATTTAATTTTCCCCTGCGCAGCAACCTTATCGTCTTGATAAAAAATCGAGCAACGGAATTATTTCGAGTCCCCGTGAACGAGCATTCGTTTGTATACATCCATGCGTGCAATGTGAGAACATCGGGCTCGATATGGCTGCTTGCCTGTATACATGCGTATAATACACAAGAAGACACGATAAACCGGCACGACGCGAATTGCGGCGACGAGCTTCGGCGCGTACACGATATGCCAACGATGAGTATTACTGCCTTATCGAAGAAGGAAGAAAAAAAAACACCACATACACGCGCGCGAGCACACGCTTGCATACACACTTCAGACCACTATATAATTTTTGTAGACGTTTCGCAGGCGCCAGCCATAAGGTACACCGGAAAGCTCTACTTTTTCATTTGGCGATCAATTGTCTCGCGTCGCAATCTATATTATATACGAGGACACTAGTATCCGCCTTTTCTTTCTTTATGCACATACGTTACTTTTACAAGTATTTTTCGCGACTGTACAAACAAAATAAGTCTCGATGATGACGTTCGATCGCATTGAATCGACGGCTTTATTGAAATGTAATAATTATTTACGAGGACGCATATGTCTTTGGTGCTTTTCAACGAGTATCTAATCGCAATGAATTTTACAGTTTGGAAATTCGACGCTGTACTTAAAGCACGATGTTACTTTAATCGATCAAAGTTCATGGTTTCAATGCCATTTTAAGACCATTCAATACAAAATTAAAATATCGAGCCATAAATCGAGACAAACTAATTTGAAAGAATAATTTTAAATTCGCCATACAGCTGCAATGGCATTAGCCAGGTCCTAATTGAGCATAATTACTGCAGCGACAAAGTCGTTGGTAAGCACAAAAGCGCATAAAAAGGGGTTCCACATTTTACTTCATTGGAAGAAAGCGTTTCTCTGCAAATTCCTAACATATGCCGCGAATAAAGCGTAATTCTGGAAAGCAAGGGGCGCAACACGCAGCTTCAAGTGAAAATTAATCATGCTTTTTCAGGGATCGCTCGGCCGCGACACTGTCACTGCTGCGCGAGGGGTTAAATAATAGAAACGTCAAAATGTTACGCAGCCTACCTACTCAGTAGCCCAATTTCTGCAGCTACTGCTGCTCTCTGACATTGTGAAGCTTATCGAGAACGAGCTGCGTAAGGCTAATTGGATACTAACAGTTGGTCTGACTTTTTCCCTGCATTTGCTGCTTTAATTCACCCGTTGTTGTGCGCCGGAGATCGAATTCTTCGCTTAAACGTTTCGCTTGACGTTGATAGTAATTAGATACAACGAGACACAACAGAAGCTAGGCTTGATCAATAGATTCATCTCGTTTACAGAGTCTTTTATTGTATTTTGCTTTTTCTGAGCTTCAAATTTTCAACGAATGTTGCACAATTCGCGATTTTTCCTACTTCTTATCAAGCATAAAAATTTCATGTAGGACTCTTTTCGCACTCGAAGACGCGTATTTTTATCGCAGCTCCAGCGATTTTTTCTCTTTAAAAGATAGCATCGTCTTAGCTCTCAGTATAAAAACGTTCATGAAATAAGCTATATATACGGTGCGAGGAAAAAGCAAATTTGGAATGAACTTTTCCATGATCGGAAACCCGTAAAACGCCGATGGTATAAAACTACTTTCTTATCCTTTTTTTGCTATTTTCTTGAATATAGGTATAAGGCTAACATATATCGTTCATAAGGAAGATACTACACAGAGGGAAAGAGGCAAAGAGCATACGGGCGAATGAGACAATGTTGCTACGAGATAAGACGTGTAGCGGCGTCGCAGAGAATCGTCTATTTCGACGGATCGCTTGCGACTAGACATGTTTGTCTTCTATATATCGGACTCCGAGGGCGCGACTTTCAACGTTGTTCGATGGAAACGATAGATTTGCGCTGCAACTCCAAATTTACACACGAATACTCGATATGATGAAATTATGAGTTTTTTCAAAGCTTATTAAAAAATACGTGATCAACACTTTACACTTAATTTAAATTTAATAAAGGGAGTATAGATGTGATGTGAATACAAAAGTTGGTTTTACAAATGACAATAACTTTGTAAATTATCCGAGTAGACGTTCGAGTTGCTTAAAAGATATCATGATCCATTAAAATAGATGTTGAATTCGTCGAGTCCAATGCTAAATTCATTCGAAAAGCTCAAGTGCGGGCATTGACACCAATCGTCATCATCATCATAAGCCGGGACAGTCAAGTCTGATGCAGAAGTTAAATTTGGCAACAGCGAGTACATGTAGCATAGTAGGGGTCGCCCCTGTATTAAAGTAAGCGGCGATAATAACAATAGTTTACGGTTTAACACGAGCAGAGCCCCGACTCGGCTATGTTTACGTTTTTTCGCTGTAGCAAAAGTAAACGCCTTACATATTATACACATGAGCTACATGGAGAAAAATAGAAACTTTCTTACCTACATACAAAGTCTGATATTAGTTTATAGGCATAGTGGTGTTAGAAGTCAGGGCTATAGCACGTGGCTATACCAAGTGAGAAATGTAAAAGCGAGAAAGAGAGAAGAAGAGAGAAGAAGAAAGAGAGAGAGAGAGAGAGATGAAAAGGCGTTGGAATTGCTACATGGCGTGCAAGCCTATATCGGGGATAGGAGACGATGGTTGCTCCATAATATGTCGGGCTGTGTGTCGGCTCCAAGATTCGCGCAGCTGCCGCAACGTAGCGCGCACGACGACGGCCGACGTATTGGTCGATAACGCGCCGAGCCATGCCGTATAGCCGAACGTGTGCAAAACTGTACTGCGTGGCGTCTGCAAGCGGCACTGCTTAACTGCCACCGGCAAGCCGAAACGCCGAAAGTGCCGCTGTCGACGCCACGTTCGTACTTGCTCTCTACGGCATATACGCACGTCGCGCACACATTATTGTTATTATTATTAGTACTATTGTTATTATTATTGTACAGTCCGCGTCTCCGCGAATGAGTGTGTGCGCGCGTACATGTGTTTGCGTTTCGTGGCTATATATATATGTACACAACAGTTAGCGCGTATATCTATATGTATCGCGCGCAGCGCAGCAACAACCCGAGCTAAAACGCTACGAGGAGGAGATCAGCAGCAGCGGCAGCAGCAGCAGCAGCAGCAGCGGGAGGGGGGATTCGCCTCAGCTTTTACCGTGCAGCGTGCTAACTCTGCTACTGCTTATATGCCGCGCTGCCAACGCGACTCTCCGAAAAATTTTCTCATCTACTCGCGATCCTTCGAGTGTGTCTCGGGCCCGAACATCGCTCAACACCCAAAGTGCCTGTCCGCGTTCCGACTCGCAGCGTGAGCGTCGTCGCAGAGCGGTACACCGCCCACTTGCACCTGTCATCCAAGCACCTGCAGCTTATCTGCCGAGGCGCCAGCGGCCGTCTCGCACAACACCAGGTATGAGAAAATATAGATTATTTTCCTGCGATCCGTGCCCTGCACCTCGTGCTCGTCTCGCTCGCCGTAACAGTAGATTTGCCGTAGGCCGCGCGAAAATTGGGTTATGGTGACACGCTCTCGAGAGCGGCCGCTACTTTACTTCCGTCTTTCTCTCTCTTTCTCTCTCGCTCGCTCTCGCAGCAGCTCCCCGTCCGTCTGCATGATGCATCTCGATTCGAGGCGCGACGCACGGGACAGATTATGGCACTGGCCGTACTTTCCTCTGCTCATCTGCTGAATCAAGCTCACCTTGACTTTTCACGGACTTTCTACTGGTACGCTTCAAAGCGTGAAGGCACGTGTACAACGCCTTTTACCAGATGCGAAAATACGCTAGCTCGGCCTACGCTACATACCGTAGCCGTCGACTTCGGCCTCTGTACTTGTGTATGCGTAACTGCCCCTGAGTCTGTGTGCATTGCCATGAGGTCAGTGGCAGGATCAAGCTCGTATTATGTCGTGCCAGGCGAGTTTTTGAATGGCGGTCACGTGCAACGACGACTTTTGCAATCAACTAGCAATCGCAGTTTCTATGTTCAACATTTCATTGTTGCTTCGTGCCGGTATCGTATTTTCTATCCTACGCTCTGCTGCTGCTGCTGCTGCTGCTGCTGCTGCTATTCCGATATAGTTTGTTACGCCGCGTGCAAAACGCTTACACATAAAGGCGCTCGTGATTCAAGTGTGCGCCCATTGAACAGCGAATGACACCTTCTTTACCGACTTTTTCCGCAAAATGTCCCGAGCTTCAAAATTTACAGTTAACTTGCACTTTTTGTTTTTATTTGCCCGTCGACTCTACACTCAACGTTAATTACTTGAGTTTGCTGAAAATTGTCGTATTTTGTTGCACGTCTCATCGTTTCAGTAAACTTGTTTAAAAAGTATCATATTATATCGTGCGTTGCAGTTTGTAACATTCCTCACTTTGTTCCCCTTTAAATGAAACTATTTTTTTTTATATGCAGCTGCAATTTTTTACATCATCTTTTTTCCTCGAATTATATCGGTAAAGTAGAGTGCGGATTTATCTTTTCATGAAACGTCCTTTCCTCATCTAATTCTCGTGCAAATTTGAAGCGATCATTTTTAAAGTTTGATTTTTATTTTTTTTACTGTAAACTCTACTTTTTGAACAGACTCAATCATTGATTATGAACAATTCAAGGTTGAAATTTCTATAATCATAAGATAAGATAAAGTTATACAAAGTAATTTGCTATTCTAATATGTAACAGGAAAAAGCAATTATACTAGTTTAACGCCGAATATATTCAAGAACATACATTCTTTAAAATATTTAAAATGTTGCATAGTTTTCATTTATTTTCCCTAACACAGCATCGAGAATTTATTCGACATTTCTGTCTCGTCCAAGAAATATCATTAGATCTATTAATAGTAGCAATTTTTTCAAATGATGTTATCTAACAAAAAAAATCTGTTGTAGTTCTTGTCTTACCCTTTTTTTTATAGCTAAGTACGCAACTTGAACGTTTCGATTTAATAATCGTATGCTTAATATGTGCATACCATTGCTGATTGATTATCTTTCCCAGACATTATTGACTTATTTTTTAATCGAGCAATTATAGTTTTTTACATGAAACTTATCACATTAAGCTTGCGAAAAAGAATAACTGATGTCTTAATAATTAGCGGAATTTTTTAAGTCGCAAACCGTGTAGTGTACAGAATACAGATAAAAGATTTCATTTAATCGCAAATATTTTTAAAATTAAAAACTAATTTACACAATTAAATTATAAGTACTCGAGGTGCGCATCATTATTATGTTTTAATTATCAAATTTATCACAAATTCACAATATTTTATTACTACTCAAGTAATTTAAACAAGGTCAATTAATCCTTTAAAATAAAAATAAAAAACATGAATAAAATGGACAAATCAAGTAACGAATAAGTCATTACTTCCACTTCATTAAAGAGGTTGAACCCCTCGTTTATACGAAATTGAAAGCAGCGTAAGAAATAACCATTCGTACCTAGTGACGTGCCGATTTTTTTCTCTCATTCGTGCGTATACGTACGTAAGGACGACGAATCACGCGCTGTGCATTACTGGGTGGCGAAAAAGCTAGTTTATTGCCGGCCATCAAATTTCATTAGTCGCGGGAAAACGCCTTGTCCAATCGTGTCCTGTTATTAATCGCAGCACTCGTCACTGTCACATTTAGAAAAATAAAAGTATTGTTAGGCGCTTTCGCGATAATCTTATGACTTCGGTTTTCTCTCTGGACGTGACAGTGACTCATTGTGCAACGTTAACTCACCCTTCGGACTAAAGAATCTTTCTACATTTACTCAAGTACTGCTATTTTTCACATTAAATCAATTTTACCTAATTTACTTACTTTAACGAAAAAAATAATTTCCATTTAAACATTATTTTAAAATAAAACCTTTTTTCTTCCATTTATTAATTACGAAAAATAATATATAAGGAAATCATTATGCACAAAAAACAACTACTATGTTTGAAGTTGATAAAAAATTTGTTATGCAATATTTGTGATCTACGGAAAAACGCAGTTCTTTCTAAGTGCAATCCAAATTGTGCATGTGACTAATCAAGTCGAAAATTGACCAATAGATCAATAAAAAAATCATAAATTGAATCATTCTGATTCATGAACCAATTGAGTAAAGCTTGTTTCTTTTTCCGTGACAATTTTTATCCGACTAATAACCCGCACCGTTTCCATTATCCACCTTGTCATTACCAATAACTTCTGGCAAAATTACTCTGTCCAGTTTATCATATGTGTCATTAATGACTAGGTTATGTAGCCACTGCACGCGACCAAGATAAACTTAACAATCCGTTCATTTGGCAGTGCAGACATTTTTGAAGCAGTACACTGTATCAGTTGTTATCCGTGAGTTAGCCGTACACATCGTGTGAACGACTGAAGTTCGACAAGTATCTTAATTTGCTCATTCGTTCGCCAATTTTTTTCAATACTTGCACATTTTCAACCTTCACACTCGTTTTAAATATTAATTGACAGCTACTAGAACTTAATATAAAAAATTCAAGTACGTATGAATATAAATAAAAATAAATACAGCAATATTAAATTAGCTTAGTATTATTAAATAGTAATATAAAAATGATCACTTTCAATGCTTAATTAATATAGATTGAAATGCCTATCTATTAATTTTACGCAAACAATAGCTTAAATAAAAATTGCACTCCCATTTGAAAGTCGTTATTACACGTCGTCGCGCACATAATGGGCAAAAAGTCTATTGAAAGTGAATTCGGTATGCATGCGCAGGATTTCTATTCTCTTTTTAGCGTGCAAAAAGAGCAAAGAGAGTACTGCAGTTGCGCACTTAGCTGATGAGTGAGGCGTATACCTACACACGAATTGCACCTCTCCTGCCTATCGAATCGAATTTCAATGCGAGATCCACCCTCGTAAATTTTTTCGGACTCCTTTTTCTCTGTTTCAATGGATTTCTTTCGTTCGTGATATACTTGTTTGGGCTCTTTAATCATTTGCATACAGTCGCCGAGTGCAGCTGCGTGCTTTATTCATATTTAGAGGCGCTAGACTGCACAGCAGACTGTGTTTTTCTGTTATTGTTCTACGTGAGTGCTTTGACACGTTCTAATCTTCTAATTTTATTTGAAAGATTAATTTGTAAAAACTTTTATTCAAGTTCACGTAATCAATTAGTGAAATTTTCGTAGTTTTAAACTCCTAAAATTTTTTGAATCAATAGTTTACACATGATCACACTCATATCAGATTTGGCATCAGGTAACAATTGTTTTACTGCGCTAAAAACCCACGGAAGTTGAGTAATTTATCAGTTAATCAGTAAGGTGGCACGTGGCCAGTCACCACGAATGAAAAGAGTCCCTTTCTTGAGGATAAGGGCTGAGTTAATAGTTATGAAATTGAACAATATTACACCCTCGCCTCTTACGGGTGTTCTGCAAACTTACCGCTTGAATGAGTTTTGCTGTAAATATTTTTTCATTTTTCATTATAATATTTTGATTTTTTAATGAATCGTGGGATATTGAAGATAGGATTCTTGATTAAAAATAGTACACTTCTATTTAGAGATTTTTCAAAACGTATATTTTCAAAAAAAAGTTTTTCAATGATATCAATCGAGTTTTAAAATTGAGGAATAATTTTCTGATCCTTTCGGAAAAAAGTAATATGCAAATGATAATTGTATGTCGCGTGACTTTGAGACACGGACTGTGTCTCGTTGTTATCGTCTTTTTCGCTTTCAATTATCATCATCATAAATTTCAACCTATGACTTTTTTGCTTTTCTTGTATTAAATTAGTAAATTCTTAATGGCATTCAAAAAAAAATGATTAAAGGAGCTGTTAAAACGTTTGTTACTATTAATAACATGCAAAATGATTAGTTTTTATTTATATGCACAAAAATTTTTGGTTTATGCAGTTTCCATTTGCCTTAAAACATGTGTACTTGATATAAATTAATAAAATAATTTGATTGAAGCGACTAATTGTAATCAGCAATAGATACAAATCATTCGGAAGCTTTAAATCATAAGTACAACTACTTAACGATGTAAAATGATGAAGAGATTTCAATTAATCTAATCTGCGGAGTTGATGATTCTTTTGAAGCACGGGTTCGCGCTTAGAGCTCACTTACAAATTTTGTCTCTTCTTACCATGTGTTAAATTTGTTATCATATGCCCTATCAGAAACAAAAAGTATCTTTTAATTTTTTTCTTAAAGAATGATCTGTCTATATTGAAACTTATATTTTACTCATATATCATACTTATCATTAATTATTTATCCGTTTTAAGCGACAAATATAAACGTAAATAATGTGATTAATTTAGTGCGCATTTTGTATTGTGCCGAGGGTGTACGAAATGTACACGCTCGGACAATAAACGATGCAAAGGTTGATCACGAAAC